GTGTGAAGACACCTTCTTCAACGCGACTCTAACTAGACCGAATACACCGAACGAGCTCCGTATCCACGGCCAGCAGCCAGGCCGAAATCGGTGGACGGGTTGGCAGCGAGGGAAAGACATGGACATTCTGTGAATTATTGAAAGCATCGGTGACTTGCACAGTATACAATATGAGTGAACGTGTGATAGGTATGCAGCGAAACTGACAGCAGTGGCACGTAACTACAGTCTTACAGCAATCACCCGGCTTGCCACGGATAAACAACAGTTTTGGCCATTTGAAGTCGTTTCAAGCTGTTGTTACAATGTGACACGTTGATACGGGCCGGCAGTGCACCGTATCGAGCCAGGCCATCAGGCCTGTTCACGGAGTGGGTTAGCCCATTGATGAATGCAGAGCACCGCCTAAGTCTGCCTGGGCACACGCCCGCCGATGAGCTCGGAAGTGGGACCATCTCTGATATCAAAAACACAAGTTCACCGATGGTACCCATCGTTCGGTGCCATAGGCAATGCTGTGGAGCTTCACCATGACTTCACTGCGGCGCAACCATAAAGCCAAATATGAAAATGCACTTGTATGGCCACTAATCCTAAATTGCCATCGCAGAACCAGCAACTATTGTAAAGTGCTGACACCTGTGGCAGGCTTTAGATGGGAGAGCTATGTAGAAGCTAAGAGAACAGGAGAGATGAATACCAGATAGCGATGGGAAACGCGGATATCAGCCATTCGTGTATTTTGAAGAGGGTTCTAGACACCGGTTATTGCAATTTGTGATAGAAGGGGAAAACGTTAGATTCTGAGGCAAACTTGAGAAAAGGAAAGGTAAGGGGGGGGGCGGTATCTTCATTTCTATAACGACCAATAATAACTTTCGAATACAGAATCGGGGGTACCGATAGCGTGCGTGTACACAAATTGAAGATGATTGGGCTAGAGCAAACAAAAAGCAGTGAGTTGGGGGTCATGTGTTATACCGGTCGACTTAGCGTTCTTCGGATGACGTCAGTTTTTCACGCCACTTGTGCGTGGCGTTGTTTTGGTGTCATGACATGACAAGGCATGACATGACATGTGATGTTTCGACATGCAGCACGTGCCGCCATTGTATCGATACGAAAATGTGCAATAAATATGCAAATGCTAAACTGGCATGAGCGGTGACAGTTCCCGTGTGACATGGTAGAATCCAGCGAAAATTGCATTGGAAATGTACGGAATCGTTAGCGCACTGCGTGCGCTGTTGTCAAGGGCGCATGCAGTGCGCTAACATCATTTGCCTGCGACTGACAAGTAAAATGAATTGATATATAATACCACTATATCGAAAAAGGCTATGCTCAGAGTGTGCTCGGCAAAGAGGACCATTGTACATCGCCTTCAACTAAACTCACATGTATATATGGTCAAGGTATGGTTTAGTGATAGCATCGACGTTGCAAAGAAAGAAGTGCTGATTTCGGCTGATGAACGCGAGCGTTTCAGATAACAGCAACGCCATAAAACAAAACGAACAATAGAGCTACACATCTGATAAAAGTGATGGAAGTGGACACTGAAAAACAACCTAGAAGCGCTCACGCTGAGTGCTCAAAACTAAATTTACTACGCTATGCGTTCCGCTTGTGTAGGCGCTCGATGAGGCCACTTTTGGACGATGTCCAGGTTCGATCCACGCGCGCTTGTGTTCTATTTCGCACTGCGAGATTATTTGATTTATGGCCATTTGTAGGGAATAACCCTGCCTCAAAGAGGTACCTAATTAATTTAGAAAAGCGACAACTCAGACCACAACGAGCCGGAAGGAATTTGAGGTGGCGTGCACAGTACTCTCTGTGTCATCGCAAGCATGAACTTCGTAGTCTAAAAGACATGTTTTTGCATTACAATGTGTTGTCGCAGTGTGAATAATGTCGCATGCCGCAGTATGCGGTTCTCGTCTTATTGACGTCTGCATTTGCTCTGGCAACACAAAGCAGGACCACAGCAGAATGTCAACCCGAGCTTCGAACAGGCCAGACGATCCCGGGCAACACCTGGTCTTATCGGCACTAGTATGTCGGTAGGTACCACCGCAGCCAGCTCATTCCTTGGCTTCATCGGAGACAGCGCAGTCACTGGTCCCATTCGATGCAGCGCAGCAGCTGGCCTCACAAGAGCCAATGCAACAGCCAGGCCCACTACTCATCACTAGCCTATCGCAATATCAACCAATGAAAACTGGAAAGTTGAGCTCAATGTAGGGAAATGTTTACAGCGCAACAGTCACCTTGAAGTCACTGTGGAGTTACAACGGTGTTGGTGGTGGTGGTGTGTGTTTGGGGGGGGGGGAGCTAGCACGATTTTTATCTCGAAACTTTCCATGCACCCTCGTAAGGCAATGTTAAATGTTGCCTGGAGTTGGGGGAGGGGGCAGCTGCCTTCCCCTTGTCTCCCTAATCTGCTGCCCATGCTTCGGGGCCAAGCTGCAGCCATTGGAGTCGAATCAATACATTAGCAGATGTGGTTAAGGAACATACAAAGCCATAAGGACAGGAACTCAGCAACCCGTCCCCAGCAAGCAAAGCAACGCAAAGAGGCACCATTTCGCTGAATCCAAGATGCTTTCAATGTGAGTTCTAACTAAAGTGTGGGGGGGGGGGGCAGTCCATTCAGGCACCACGGTACCCAGGACCGAACTTTGCGACACTGTATGTAGAACTGTGATCGATAATGATTTTCCCCTTTAATCCAGATGTTGGAGCAGGGGCGCAGCCAAGGGAGAGTTCTGAGGATCTGATGCCCTCTCCTTAAACTCAAATTTTTCGTTTTCACCATACCGATGGCTGCCGTCAGAAAGTAAAAAGTCGGTGTGATGTAGAGGTGCAGTTTCCTTTCCAGTTGAGAAGGGCCTTCAGCCTCTTTTCCCTGCAGTTTGGGAAGAAGCGGGCTAAACATAGGTGGAAACCCGTTTGTTGGCGTATTTTGGGGATAGGATGGGTCATTTTCCACTGTGCAGCCTCCACTGTTCCATTGAAGTATATCAGCTGCCATCTCCGGACCTGTCCTATCACTCTGTAGCCAGCTCTGGTTCAAACGTAACATTTCAGGCGCCCCCTCCGGCCCTATGTCATCACTCTATAACGAGCCGGAGTCCCTACTCATGTCGTCTGCAGCCAGCTCTGGTCCAGGTTTCATAATCAGCTCTGGTGTCGGTGTAATCCGCTCTGAAGCAAGCTCTGGCCGCAGTGTGACCACTCTGTAACTAGCACTGGTGCCACTAGTAGTCATCTTCAAACAAGTATTGTCAGACAGGGATCCTATTTGGTACCAAATCTCAAGTGCGCAAACAAATGGATAAGCAAGAGCAAAAATCATCGCCTCCCGTCAGATCTAACAAAATAGTTGGAAGCTTCACTCTGTTAGCGATTTAGTTTCGTCGTTATGTACCAACTGATAATTTTACCGTTGTGTATTTGGTCCCCAATTCGCTAGTGTTACAGACTTGGTCTTGAATCCGCAACACCTACCGTTCATTATGATTTGGTCCCAGGGGACCAAATCATGTAGCACCGTACACTGAAATAATGCGTGGATGCATCATTATAAAACGAAGACTAAACCTCCGGAATAAAGATTTTCGACTATTTCGAAAGCCCTGACGACCAACCATGAGTTCCACGCTTTCCTACGTATGCATAAACTATGTTTCGTATATTTCAGCTTGGTACCAAATAAGACCCCGTCTCATTTTATTAACACGAAAATGGCTGGTGTCAATTGCGGCTCCACCGCCTGCGTCAAAACCGGCTCCGCCCCTAGGCGACAAATCCGTAACGAGTTCTGGTCCCATTGCAGACCCTACGTAAATAGCTTTGTCGCTGGGGTGACACCTCCCCACCCAGCTCTGATGTATCCAGCCTCAGAACCAGTGCGACTACGTCTGTATCCAGCCCCAGAACCAATGTGACCACGTCTGTATCCAGCCTCAGAACCAGTGTGCCCACGTCTGTAACCAGCTCCGGTCGGCCGTGGCGGCCTCCGTAACTGGCCATCCATAATCGATGCGTGCGGTCGGTCGCGTGCCCAGCAGTCTGTCTATATTCCGTGGGGGCGGGCGCGTGGCTCCGCCCCCAGCGACTGGGTCCTGGCTTTGGGCACGTGCTGACCGAATTCGGTCTCACAGAAATCGTGCTGCTGTGGAGCTTTCTTCTCTCGGAGAAAGGGTCAGCGAGACTCACCCATTGGTAGTAAAAGATCGCCATGTCTTTATCTCATGTAGAAAGATCAGAACGAGTGTTGGTCGGCTCCTGACCAGCGCTACCCTTTAAGTTAAGCTCGTCATAAATAACCGCAGAACGGCCATGCTACTGTTACTCTGTTTGTATTAAGACAGTTAATTCCTTGTAACTGGCGATTGCAATTTACATCTGTCGCCTTGCGTTTATTTTGCGCAGGTCCTTCCGATGAGAGTTTTGTTTATTGCAATGCAATATATATTTCGCTATCGACTTTTTTGAGGCCTGTAGGATATTGCACCTGAATTATTATTCCGTTTCAACACCATGTTCGCGAAGAAAATAAATCCCCGGTGCTGCAGGCAATATGGCCCAGCTGCCCCGAGCCCCACTTCACTGGACCGTGGCGGCGGCCGGATGGAGTGCCTCACACCCACCTCACCATTACCGCTGTGTCTGCGCGTGCCCGATCTTACAGCGGCCGGATCGCCCAGCTGCCCCCCTGTCATCCTCGTAAAACGCGGCTCCATCGCCCCGGCACACGGACGGAAGTCTTCCCGACGCCGCTTGTGGACGTCACGTCACAGGCGGCGCCCGCGAGCGCGGCGCGATAACGCCGGGGCGGGCGCGGCCGGCCGGTGGGCGCCCGTTCCAAGGAGAGGGACCCGGCCGGCCGCGGCGCTTATCGCGGACTCGAGCCGACGCCGCGCGCTCCCCCAGGACCGATTTATCTCCCGACTAGATCGGAAGGAGGCCACTTTGACTATCCGCCATAAAGTGGCGCGGGTGCTGGACGGCCGCGGCGGATCGGCCGAGGTCGCTAGTGGTCCCCGGGGCACGGCGGCTTCTCCATCAGCCCATCACTTCTAATTACTCGGACAGAGATGGCAGTCGACCGCCGCTGACCGCGCCCGGCCCGTGCAGACTGCCGCCGATAGCAACGGTACGTTGGGATATGCATGCTCCTCTTTTGCTGATGGTGGATTTGTCTCATACCTCCCGCGGACTGGAACCTCTCAGGCTTTGCTCCGATTTCAGTACCGTTTGTGATGAATCTGGCCATATCTCAGGCATCTAGGTGGTCAGATGTGTTTACTTGCTGACATGTACTTACATGCGGTCATTGCTGAGCTATGACTGTCTCTTAAGTTTGATCTGGATCATTTTGAGTGGATTGTTTTCTTCTGTTTATTTTCCAAAACCAGGCGAGGGAAGGAGAGAGAGAGAGAGAGAGAGAGAGAGAGAGAGAGAGAGAGAGGAGAGAGAGAGAGAGAGAGAGAGAGAGAGGAGAGAGAGAGAGAGAGCGAGAGAGAGAGAGAGAGAGAGAGAGAGAGAGAGAGAGAGAGAGAGAGAGAGAGAGAGAGAGAGAAGAGAGAGAGAGAGAGAGAGAGAGAGAGAGGAGAGAGAGAGAGAGAGAGAGAGAGAGAGAGAGAGGAGAGAGAGAGAGAGAGGAGAGAGAGAGAGAGAGAGAGAGAGAGGAGAGAGAGAGAGAGAGAGAGAGAGAGAGAGAGAGAGAGAGAGAGGAGAGAGAGAGAGAGAGAGAGAGAGAGAGAGGAGAGAGAGAGAGAGAGAGAGAGAGAGAGAGAGAGAGAGAGAGAGAGAGAGAGAGAGAGAGAGAGAGAGAGAGAGAGAGAGAGAGAGAGAGAGAGAGAGAGAGAGAGAGAGAGAGAGAGAGAGAGAGAGAGAGAGAGAGAGAGAGAGAGAGAGAGAGAGAGAGAGAGAGAGAGAGAGAGAGAGAGAGAGAGAGAGAGAGACTTAGAACTGACAGAGGATGATTCCAAAAATTACAAGCTTTGCTTTTGCTTAAAGGGATGCCCCTCATTTGTGTGGAATATTGGGCTGAAAAGGCCATTTTGAACATCATAAGATCATTTGGTACAGTTCACAGCAGCGTCATTCTTGAGACCTAACCCCGCTAGTTCCTGAGCTACACGCGCGCGAAGATGTGCAGACTATTTTGAGCAAACAAGTTGAAGGTTGCCCACGCATTAATGACGCCATACAAACGTCATTAAAATTCCACCATTCCTTTAGCCATGCGGCGATGAAGGCCAAGAAAAATAGCATTGTTGAGTCACTCGCATCTGGCGTTCGTGAGCACGATTTCCAGATAAAACAACCGTCAAATGGCTCGGAATCAATGTTGCGGAAGGTACGATGACGCGACGAAACAAGGACATATTGAGAAGCACATTTACTAAACAGAGAAAATGTCTTGTCCAGAGCAGTCTTTCGCACTTTTAAGTATGCCAATGGTTACGTGAGCCCATTGCATCATATTTGATACTTGCTCCAATATCCTTAAATGTGGAACATTCCCTTTAATTCAGGCAAGGAAGACATCGAGTCCCTGGTTTTTCACCATTCTGATTTGAGAGATTTCATCTTGACAGTAAGCAATATCCATTACACAACTGGAAACATTGAGTTTCGCCAATATAGCCAATGGTTGACGTCTGAATCATGTTTCTTAACCGGTGCCTCCTGGAATATCAAAGGTCGTTTTCTGTCAGGACGAGGTATCCCAGCTCATTACGTTATACTTTAATTTGCATACTGCTTAGCAGTGAGCAGTAGCCCCACACACTACATGTAAAGAAATTATGTGTCACGTTGAGCATGTTATAAATTCCATCTCTGACAAGCCGGGTGATTGCTGTAAGACGTGCCACAGCTTTCAATTTTACTGCATCTCCTATGTTCATTTACATTGTATACTGTGCATATTACAGACGATAAACCACAGGATGTGCATATATTTGCCTTCCTGCCAACCAGTGGACCCATTTCGGCGTAAATGTTTTGCAATATATTATTGAGTGTTGAATATGCATGGTTAACGAAAACTAATCTCTGATTAATGGACTTACTCTCGTTGGATAATACAAGATTCGTCCACATTCCTCATTTCCGTTAAAATGTAATGATTAGCCTTGGCATACATCAATTTTAGCGTTATCGGTGACAAGATATCTATGCGTCATGTATGGGCGTTAAATATCTGCCATTACGTGTAGTCTATCATAGACCACTGCATTTTGTCCGAACAAAACATGTCCAGAGGCCAGGTCCCAACGCTACCAGTTCCTGCGAGCCACAATACAACACAGCGTTGTGTGGCCTCGTTAATCTCCATACTCGTTTTCAATGCGACGGGTCGAACCGCCAAACTTTCGCTCAACTTTTTTAATTTGCCGAGCAAACGTTTCAACAGTGGCATCGTTAATTTTCGGTCGCCAGGCCAACTCGCCTTTCACGAGAAGCCAGGCTTCGAACCTGTCCCCATGCATGCATTCAAAGCTGCAGTTCTTTGATGTTCAGCGCGTTAGGAGTTCCCTCGCCTCCTGATTAAATCTCCTGTCAATTGGCTGGGAGTCCGGGCCTTTCATTGAGAGGCTCGCATACCGCACGAGCGGGCTCTTCGTCCAGCTTCCATTGACGTGCAGCTCCTTGCAGAGCGGCGTTCGGCTCTGACGTCACCACTGCGCCGCACTGCGCCGGACAAAGCAGCCCCGGACCACTGGCAGGCTCGATAATTGTACAGCGATGTTCCATTGCGGGTATGTGCACAGTGGCACATGCTTTCAGCACGAGGAACGCGCATAAAGATGATTATTAGTCACGGAACAATTCGTAGTGCATGCGGCTTTCAAAGAAGCTGTCATCCGTAAGCATTCGAAGAGAGTGCTCCACATTTGCATGGGATTTCGAAATGAAATAACCATCTTGCAGATCATTCAGTGTAGTTCACAGCCCTGCCCTTCTTAACGCGCGCTCGGGTGGGCGTGGAGGGAGCAAATTGACCCCCGACACCCGATAGTTTTTTCAGGATAATTTCCGAACGACACGGCGTAGCCACGCCAAAATTTGCACAGCTGTAGATAATTGAATAGCGGATCTTTTGATGTAAAAATTAGATCCACCTTGTAAGGTCGTTGACGTATGGCAGGTCAAAGTCAGACCAGGACTGTCAGCGAAAGGCATTTCTAGGGAATCGTTCAATGTGATACAACGACGGAGTGTTAGACGAAGCTACGCATACCTGAGATATTTTCAAAGGCAACAAATAAATTGAATATATTATTACTCATAGTAATATAAGACCAGATATGAAGGTCAGATATGGATCAAAACTAGCCTGCTCTTTTACACCAGACCACGGTTTAGGGGTAGTTTCTGGTGCCCATCTCGAATTTATAAATGACGATGACCGCAGTAGACATGTTTCATGAACTTTTTAAGGTCAAAACAGACCGCTGACCTACAACGACTGAGGTCAACATTTTGGTTTTAGGGACATACCGCCTAGCGTTGTCGCTGACGCTTATTTGAGTGGCGAAATAGGAGCAATCCCGTAGGCATTTGGTCACCATGGCCCCATTAAGTTCGGACCAGGTCACTAACCTTTACTGGGCACCATGGACCTGTTTCTTAAAACAGGTATCTAGTCTCGCGGCGGTTTCATGAGGAGGTCTAGGGGCACTTGAGACACCAACCCTGAGTTTTACCTTATTTGACATGTTTTGACTACAAGATCATGACCAAGGAGCATGCAATTCTGATATTAGTGAGCTTACGTCCAGGGCAAGCCATCCTGCAAATTTGATGCCTCTTGCTATCTTAGTTTTTTGAAATCTCAGAGAAGGATCAAATGCCCCTCTCCCCCACCCCCCACCCGCCCCTCCCTCCCACACCCGACCAAAGGACATTTAACTGGTCACTTGGGCGCGTGTTAAGATCTAAAACATACTGGTTTCTGAGCTACACACCCGCGAAGATATGCAACCTTTTTTAGGTGGAGACTATTTCAAGGTCACTCAGGCATCCATGACGTCTTACCTTCATTCAAATCCTGCCAGTCGATTGGCTATGCGGTGCTCAAGGCCAGTATAGATACTATTGTCGAGTCGCTCGTATATGGCGTTCGTGAGAACGATCTCCAGATATAGCGACCGTCAACGGCTTCTCAATCAATGTTGTGCAACGGACGGTGACGTAATCAAACAATGACGTAAAGAGGAGCATATTTACTAAACAGAGAAATTGTGTTGTCTAGGGCAGACTTACTCACTTAAGTGTATATCAAAAGTTACAAGTGAGCTTATTTCATCGTATCGGATGCTGGCTTCAACGCCTTTAAATGCAAGCATTCACTTTAAGCTCGGTGGAAACTGCTCCATCTTGAAAAGGAAAGACACCGAGATATACAGGCCAAAAAACGTGATCGGCTAGCCAAGTCGAGTCGCACAACTTGAATATATAAAGGGAGAGTCCAAACTTTCCAGCATGTTTCAAAAACATGATCTGTTGGCTTCTCAGAACCTGTCATTAGTATACATGGCACTGGAAAACGGAACTGCAACACCAACAAGATATTATGCGCACATTAATTTATCTATTTCCTGTTCTTAAGTGTGAGGTCAATATTTCAGATCAGCTATTTGTCCTTCTTTTTCTTGTAGTATCCCATATGTCATGCTGTGCATGGACGGTACGCGTTCCTTTGATAATATATATATATATATATATATATATATATATATATATATATATATATACATTATCGTATATATGCACCTTGGACGATTTTAGCGCACGCAAAGCGGCGTTTACCACCGTGAAGTTAGCGGCTTTTTTATTTGGACGCCTTATGCAAATAACTAATAAAGGCTTTCAAGATGCTAAAACTGTTCAATCCCTGCTCAACATGTTATAGTTTGCAGTTCCCAGAATGTTGCATAGATATTATCGTAGAACGGCACCCACGTCCGTACTGCAGCTCACTGCTCAAAAACAACAAGCAGACTATGTGATTGCTTATCAATATACGTAATTGGTGGCATGTAACAGTGATCAGCTAACATGTGTTGTTTTGCAACTTTCATGTCTCCTCTGCATAAATAAAATGAGCAACGCCTTCTTCTATACTGTGTTTGTAAAATT